AACTATTAGTAAAGATTATAATTAAATTATACCTTTCTCTGTTTTTTTTGCATAACATCTTCATGCATAGGGTACTTTTCATTTTCTTGAGATTTCCCTTGTTTTCTTTGTTCTTTTGTTACAAATTCATCAGGCTTATAAGAGTCTTTTATTAAAGTTTCTGAAGCCTTACTTCTTTAGATTCATTTTTTATTAGAAATGTATTTATAAATATTATTTGTATACTAATAATTTTGTAGAGAATAAGATAAAATATTTAGTTTTGTTTGGTACATACCGTTCTTTTGAACAGATTCTTCACACTCTAATTCATTTTGCAAACTACCTGGCATGAATTTGCATTTGAAATTAAACCATGCTTCACTTGTTTGAATTTTATATTTTAAACATTTTAATTGATATATACATACTCTTCCATAATATTTTGTTACTTCCCATGATGGTAATGACTATAAAATTGCATAATTACAAACAATGTTGTTAAAATATAAATATACTTTCATAAAATATTTTAAAACTTACTTGTATTAATTTAGTAACAAATTTACCAATCATTATGACGTGAGACTAATACACATCTATACAAACAAATAAAAATTTTTAAATATTAGAATCATAAATCTACAGTATCATTTTTTAATGTGAAAGAATTTTCAAGTTAACCAAATAAAATGAGAAATTTCAGTGCTTCTTGTTGACATGAAATTTTTTTGAATTTTTCTGTCAAAGAAAAAAACAAATGAATTATTGAATTATATACACTGTGTTTAAATACTACATATAAATTAATTTTAATACTAGATTATTTTTTTTTATATTTGTAGGTTCCACACATTGAAAGTGAAATTTTGCATATGACTGCAGAACAGTTAAATGCAAGCAGAGAGAACTTAAATGCTTTGGTTTGTCATTGTGTAGACACATTAGTTGATGAACATCCTTTCAGAGTTGTATATGCTTTACAAACTTTAGCAGCTGTTATTCAATCAATGTATAAGAAAGCTAGTCAAGGTGATTGTGGATTTAACTTAATAGACAACTTAGTGGGATTTGATTCTGCAGAACAAAGAATGACAACATTAATGCAACACTGTAATAATTTCTTAACAGGTATATACTTTATAACACATGGCTAACTAACTCATTTATGTTAAGAAATCAAAGATTCAAATATACATTTAACATTTGAATAATTTGCAGTTTTTCAAAAAACCTATTATTAAAATTTTCCGTGATTCTAGGTGAATATCCCGATAGTTTAAAAGCTTTATGCTTGAAATTGTTGTTAATTATTGTAACTGGCATGGACAATGTTAGTCAGAACACTTTGTTGGAATATGTTATGCTTAATAGTGTTTTTGAATCTCTGGTTCAAGTAGGTGTTGTTCTAGTATAATTAATATAATTTTTAAAAATATTACTCAATTTAAATATTAATACTTCATATTTCTTTTATATAGTTATTGAGAGATACAACAGCTAGAAGTCGTCATGGACATGATGCAGTGTTGCTTTTAACACTTCTAGTCAATTACAGAAAGCATGAAAGAGCAAATCCTTATATTGTGAAGTTATCAATTTTAGATGACGAGTTAGCTCTTAATGGCTATGGACAAGTTATATCGAGTTCTTTAATGGAGTTTTGCAGACAATTTGCTCAACAAAGAGCAGGTAAAACGTTTACGATCGTATTCTTAAATTGTTTATTATAAAGGAAATAATAAGAATTATGTATATATAGAAATACAAGCGTCCTGGTTTTCTTCCTTGACTAGTATAGTCGGAAGTATGTTCGTGGGAGAAGAAGAAGCAAAAACGCAACAAGTTCGTGCAAATAACGCACTGTTACTAGCACTTTACGAAGCAACCCATTTAAATCGTAATTTTGTAACAACTTTAGCTTATACACAAAGTGATACTAGTGCACCACCTTCTCCAAATAACACATTGGGACCAAATGCGGTAGCTCCCGGAGCTCAGCTACCTGACGTGATGGCTCAGCCATTTAATTTACTGGCCACATTCTTACAGTATTGGTAAGAAATAACATATTCGACATTATATAACAAATGGTATAAGAGAATGTGTAATATTTTTTATTGTAAGAAACTTTAATATATTTCAGTTCGATAGTTATGCAAGTGATCAGAACAGAGGCAATAATGAATAATGTTAAGTTGTGCTTCCTGATATTAAGCTGTATTGCAGAAGATCAGTATGCAAATAGTTTGATGCATGACGCAAACTTGGCATTTAGGGTGCAACTACATCGAGTACCAATGCATCACAGAAAGATACAAGATAAAATAGCACCAGCACAACCATTGGCAGCTACTTTACTTGGTATAATTATTATATATTCGGTATAGAAATTTGATTCATATGAATAGTTATTATCATATTGTAGATTTACTTGTTGAATTTATTACGTCGCACATGATGAAGAAATTCCCGCTTGAACTTTATCATCAATGTATCGGAGTTCTACAGAGGTTGCTTTGTTACCAAAAAAGATGTAGAGTTAGACTTGGATATCAATGGAGAGATCTTTGGACTGCTCTGATTAATTTACTAAAATTTTTAACAACACATGAAAGTCATCTCATCAAGAAAATGAATATCTTTCCACTAGCTATTCAGGTACATTAATATAACTGTTGCATGTTTGTTAAAAAGCACGAGTTAAGGAAATAAAATTAATTTTTCTAGGTTGTGAATATCTTAAATCTTTTCATTACATATGGAGATACATTTCTATCTTCTCCTAGTAGTTATGATGAATTATTTTATGAAATAATACGAATGAGGCTTATTTTTACAAATCTAAATGCAATGGGTACGTATTTAATACATAATTATTGGTATTGTTTAAAACAAGTTATAGAATAACCAATAATAAAAATATGATTTATGCGTTCAAGCACTTCGATATTCAACAAGCGAGTCATACGAGTATAAGGAACATGCGTTAAAATTAACAAATTGTTTGGTGAACATGAGAGATATAGTGAATCATTTTCCACCAAAAATATCAGCATGGTTGGCGAGTGAAAGTTTGTCTACTCCAACCGAACAACAAATTTTAGCTATCATAATACAAAATTATGATAGCCTTACTTTAAAATTACAAGATAATTTGGATCAATATGAAAGATATTCTGAAAAACCTAATCATGTTGCATTTTTCGAAGAAATGGTAATGCTCAATTACACGAATAAAAATATGATTTCAAGTATTGTTTTTATGATATAAATATTATTTTCCAGGTAACTGGAGTTGTAATTGATACTCGAGGATCGATAGACTTGAGTACGTTAGACACGCAGGCTATATTACAAGAGTTATCAAACATTTCGTAACACAGGTTTTATATGAAGTGTGTATCAAGTCGTGTGTGTCCTTCTGTTGTCACGTTGTATTATAATGTATTTTTTTAATACAATCGGCTTTACATGTATGTTCTTAATATAGCAAGGAACGAATAGCAGCTTACGAAAATAACACATTGTAGTGTTTACGATTGTTGCGCTATATTTCTATGAATTGTGTATACAAATTTAAAAAAAAAAACATTAAAATTTAATAAGTATCAAATATATAATCCCTTTATTATTGCCAGAGCTATTTTCTACAACTTATAATTTATTCATTATTAATTTAAAAAAATATAAGAACCATATTTTTTCATTATTGTTAGTATTTTACTTAATAAAATTATACATGATTTTCGGAACATTCCTTTGCAAGAATTGCAACACCCACTTTAGATTGATTTTTTCTTTGAAGTTGACCACTGATAAAATCTCCTATTTTTATTATTTCCTTGAGGTTCACTCCAGTTTCTAAACCTTGTCCACGCAAGAAATAAAGTAAATCTTCAGTAGCAACATTTCCAGAAGCTCCAGCTGCATATGGACAACCTCCTAGTCCAGCAACAGATGAGTCAAAAATTCTGATGCCACATTCAAGACTAGAATAAATGTTTACTAAAGCTTGCCCATAGGTGTCATGACAATGGAGTGCAAATTTATTCATATTTGCTATATTTTCTAATTCATGTAATACACTTTTCACCTTACTAGGAGTTCCAATACCAATAGTATCACCTAAAGATATTTCATAGCATCCACACTGTAACATGAATACACATAACTTGGCTACAATTATTGGCTTAACTTCACCTTCATAAGGACAACCAACAATGCATGATATGTAACCTCTGACTTTAATATCATGGTTTTTTGCTTTTTTAATAACTTCTTTAATGTTCTTCATACCATCTTCAATGGAACAATTGGTATTCTTTCTTGAAAAAGTTTCGGAAGCAGCCACAAAAACAGCTATTTCTTTTACACCTACTTTTAGTGCATCTTCTAAGCCTTTTAAATTAGGTACCAATACTGGATATGAAATGTTAGGTTTCTTATTAATTTCTTGAAAAACCTGAGCATTGTCTGCCATTTGTGGAACCCATTTTGGAGATACAAAACTGGTAACTTCTATATTCTTTAATCCACTTTCTGATAATTTGTTAATAAATTCAATTTTAACATTTGTTGGCACAATATTTTTCTCATTTTGCAATCCATCTCTGGGTCCAACTTCAACTATTTTTACAGAATTACTAAATAATCTATTTTTTTTCACATAAAAATTATATATGCTTCTTCTACTAAATATCTGTACAATGTAATGAAATGCAGGTCAAGATATTTCTCAATATCTAGCATCATCAAAAATGATAAAGCATACTGATAAATTGTTACATTAAAAAAATGTATATTTCAATAAAATTTCATTAAGTCAATCTTTGTTTAATTATATCAAATATTGAAGCATTAAACAAGTTGAAACTATATTTAAATAATACAGAAAAATATTAAAATACATATTTTTAATGTTTACAAATCTTCATTTACAATACAGAAGATTAAAACATTTGTTTATTGCCTCATTTATTATAATGGCGCTACTTGTTATAAGACGCCATTTGTAAAAGTAGTTCGTAACAGTACGAGAAACGGTTTGGAACTTTATCAACGTCTACATATTTTTTAAAAAGGAAACTTTTATCAAATCGAAACTGTATAACTATTTCTAGTAAAAGATTATACGTTGAATACACATATGTGTATTCACTATAACGTGTTAAAAAGTACTATTGATTAAATGTCTCGTATACATCTCAACTGATATCCTACGGTTACATATCGAATTAGAAATCAAATCGTTTGTTAATCAGAAAACATGTTTCCGGCTTATGCATACTTGTCAGCTTATGACAGACATAAAAAACTTATAAATGATTATTTCACGTTGTACGGGGGTTCAATGTCATCTTTGAAACGAAACACGTATGTTAAATTTTTTAATTGGTTTTCGTATATTACGACTTGATATTATAACCACAATTTGTAATTCGTGTATAAATTAATGTTTCTTTATTTACATCTATTTGAAATGTGCTTTGAAAGCTTGTTAAAAAATATTTTCTGGAAAAAAAACATTGTTTAAATATAAACACTAAAGAAAAATGATAACTTTGTAAACTCTAAAACAAGCAGCTCTTGACGTTTCGGCCTGTGTTTCGAGGTCCCGAGATAAGACAGACTATGACGTTATTAGAGAAAACCACAGGTTTCTGTGGAATCAGGATAATGATGTACCAGATTCATGGGGTGCTCGATTGGCAAAAAAGTATTATGACAAATTATTTAAGGAATATTGTATAGCTGATTTGACATATTACAAACAGAACAAGGTAGATAGTAATGTATATTTGATGTACAATGAAATTAAATCAAATGTTAAAGATTACCATTAAATAGGTTGCCTTAAGATGGAGAACAGACAAAGAAGTTGTTGTTGGTAAAGGACAATTCGAGTGTGGTAACAAGAAATGTAAAGAGAAGGAGGGTCTTAAATCTTGGGAGGTAAATTTTGGTTACTTAGAGCATGGTGAGAAAAAAAATGCTCTTGTCAAATTAAGTAAGTAATTGTAATTTGTTTAACGTGTATAAATTCACAGTACAATTTCATTATTAATATGTACTTTAAGGACTATGCCCTGAATGTTCAATAAAATTAAATTATGGATCACAAAAACGAGAAGCAAAGAAACATAAGTCGCTAAAAAGATTAGGAACAAATATTGAAATACAGAATAATACAGCTAGTACATCTGCAGTGCATATTAAAACTGAAGAAACTGAAACTACAAATAGTACAGAAACATCTGTAGAAGAGACAAGTAAAGATGAATCTAATATTTGGAAAGAAAAACCAGTTGAGAATTTGGAAAAAACAAGGGAAGAGGAGTTTGAAGAATATTTAGCAGATCTGCTAATGTAAGAAAAAACTAAGTTTTTTCATGAAACAATGTTAGCAATATAAAAAAAATATTGTTTGTTACTGACACTGTTAAAAAATAACAATTTCTATAAACAACACTAGTCATGTTTAAATAAATATAACAATTATAGTTGTTTTATCTTTATTTCAATTGATACATAACTCACATACTACTGGTATATTGCATGATAACAAGGCTTAGTATATATTTTTTAACTTTTATACATGAAATAACTTGTTCATTTTTACTTACATTTACAATAAAATTAAATCTTTACAATACGAAAAAATGTAGCCCCAGCCAATGTGTATGTATGTATGTATATACATATATAAGTATGTTTACATTGTATAATAAATACAGTTATTTATTTTTATTGCAGTCATATATCTTCAACAACCATCATGATACATACATTTCTGATAATGTAAATTTCTGGTTGTCAGATATGAACCATTGTAATGCACACTTTTTGTTTTTCATTATTGTTGATATATTTGATATTTGACAAAGGATAATACATTTTTATAATTTTTGTTATTTCAAAATTCCATTTTTGTATCTAGTATAAATCATTTTATAAATTATAAAGATGTTTTTTTAATTTTCCATTGATATCCTAAAATGAATTATCTAGCATGATTTATAAAAATTATTTTGCTATATTAATATCTACAAAAGAATAAATAAAAGATACAGTCTGACAAGAGCACATTTTATATGCATATAATTTATATAACAAAGAACTGATAACAATTCAATTAATTTCTGTTCATTTTGAATTTTACTATATTATCCTTATTGAGTTAAGCTAAAATTTCATGTAAAAAGACTAGCCTAATACTCAAAACTTACACTATTTTCAATAGTTATAACACTTACTATACGTATATAATATATAACAAGTTTATAATTATATTGCATAAGACTGAACTTATAAAACATGTAGTACATAACTAGAAGAGTTCAGTGCTAAGGTATATATATTTTTATAATGTAAATATTTAATATTTCTATGAACGCCAATTTCTTGTGCGTGAATCATATGCATTTAAAAATAACACAACCAAAGGACGTTATAGTATTATTAATTAGCAATAAAATATCGGTGATTCTATTGTCCTTTATCAAAAATGTCATTATCGATATAAAAGGATTAACAACTACGTTATTTGATTAATTCCTTGCTTAATGCCTGTGGTAATTTATGAACTCCTATACGATTACCTAAATCGTTTTTGTATACATCTTGTACCATTTCACTTGTACTTAAATAAATATGAAGCTAAATCAACACAAAACATAGATTAACGTGCAAACTAATTTACACTGCTGTTTATAATAATTTATATTTTGCAATCTCCTGACTCATATTTCGTATGACGATAAATTCAATTTCCATAAACATTGTGTATATCTTATTCATTTTGGAATATTTATTCTATAAATATTGTTGCATTAATGAGAAAAATGAGGGAAAATTCATTAATGTTTCATACAATGCGAAACTTAATGTGACTGAAATTATTTTCGCCACAAAAAGTAAAGGAATGAAATGTAACAAAAATATATAATTGCACGGTTCAATTCAGATTTTTAAGCACGAATATTTACGTGATAGGATTGTATTCAACCCTTTTGTAATAATCGCAAATGGTTGAAAGAATGTAGGAACAAAACGTAACGAAAAGAATTGACAGTGAAAACAATTCATTTACAATTGGAATTTCTGGTACACGATCTTACATGATTTGCTTGTTTCTGAGAGTCACTGTCTTCGTCGCTACAATCTTCATCGTGTGTATGTGTTACATTACGCGGTGTTTCAGGTCTTGCGTGTGGTATTTGATTGTTGGGACAGTCCACGTACAAAGTTTTCTAATAATTAAAAAAATTAATACTTTAAGTGGTGTTTAGCAGTTACACATAATATTGAGTAAAAAAATTAATGAAATGTTTAATACATACAGTAGGTTTATTCTGTTCTTCTTCTTCTTCAACAAGTTTAAAAGTTCGAGAGCGACTAATCATTGGCGTTTCCATAACAAATCTTTGTTCGTGAGCTACTGTACTCTCATGTGGCATCTTGTAGAAAGTAAAGAGAAAACGTCAAGTTAAATCAAAATACCACAGTTTATACATGATAATGGAAAACAATTTTAATCAACTTACCAACATAGCAGGAGCTCGAAACATGTATGAGAATGGATAGTAAATAAGATTTAAGAAAGTAGCTGCGTACAGATCAGCGTACCTCACCACTTGACTACTGAAAAATGTTTGCCTACTCCCGCTACGGAATAACGAACCCATCATACCATAAGATAAATCCATTTTGTGCGTGACGTCTCTTATAGATGCTCGTAGCTTGGAAATGTCAGGTTTTTCCTTTGTGCTACTATCTAAATTTCTAAAAGGAAATATACACAATATATAAAGCAATCATTCAGAAGTGATTGCAAATATCCAATAATAACTTTTACCCACTTGTACATTTCTCCTAGCATAACATCTAAGTTTTGTAATTCTGCAAATAATTGACACTTGTCTGTCCAAACGTGAAGCTCTTGAACTAGTTCAGGCACTATTAAAAATGTTCTCCACCCTCTAATTTTTTTACTCTTTAAGATATCACCGAAAATATGATCACCAACGTACAATACGTCTTTGCCTTTTGCACCTATCAGCTCGGTAAACACGTCACACGAACCGCCTGAGTAAACTTCACCTGTTTTAAAATAAAACATTTTGTTATCAATTTTGTTATGTTCCCAATGTATTTAAAATATCGATGTACCTGTATGAAGTGGACCTTTATGCGTCCCAAGCTTTAAAGCTCCAGTTCTCGTATCTACTTGTCGTAAGATTGTACCCTCGCCGAAAAATAATGGTTTTCTAGCATCTACTACAATAGTATCAAAATATGTTTTCCAATTTCTATGTGGTTCATCGGGCTGCAACATTACCAATCTTTTAGTGTAATATATTTCTATTAAAAAGTATCATTTATACAATGATTGTCACTTGAAATACTCACCTTTGCTCCATGTGGAAAATCAAACAGATAGGTCATAATTTTATCAGTAAAAACGTAATCGCTATTCGTCAGAAGAAACACTCTTGCCCCGCTTTCTCTGATCCTATGGAGAAACATGGGCAGCCGTTTGTCTTTCTTCACGTATTCGTTCAAATTCTCGATGGTTTTTGTCTTCAGATTACCGTGAAGATGTATCCAATCTACGGCGTTTCGTACATCCTGGAATATGCTTTTGAAGCTCATTGTAAGCTCTCCCTCTTTCACTCCTGTTCTGTCTCGTGTGTATTGTGGCGAATTCGTGAAAAAGTCTATCAAACAGGCTAATAAATAGGTCTCAGGAAGGTTGAACAATGTATTGAGCACGTATACCCTGGACTCGTCTAATTGTAAAAATTTATTCGGATAAAGCTCGTATACTTGTGAACTGGAAAGAAAAGTGAAAACATTTTAAACGATTAATGTGAATGTTTAAATTACAAATCAAATATTCTTATGGTGTGTTACGCTTACTGTTTTAAAAATTCAAAGCCGTGAACGCAGACTAGGATATTTCCATAGGCGTCCACCTTAAGGAGGTTTCCATACAAAGTGTCGAACCATAGTCCTCGCACAGGAAAACTGGGATCATACTCGAAAGCTTTGATTTCTTGCGGATATCCAAGTGACACTAGACGATCTTTTAACAATGTGAAACCCAGCTGTTCGTATTGTGGCGACTTGTACTCTGAAATATTTCGAACGACGTTCAAGTAAAATTGAATATTTCTTTTCCAATGTGTAATCCATATCGAAGCCATAGAACTTTATATTTTCTAAATGAAGGCTACGGTTCACAAAAATTCTGTAACAAAAGTAAACAAAAAAAAAATTAATCTTAATCGCATGTCGATCCACTTCTGCAGAGACACATTTAATAAATATAATAAAAAACGTAATTTTATCGTTCTTGTAACAGCACGAAAAATGCAATTTTAATTAGGTCATTACAAGTCAATTACGAAAATTATACCACAGTTTAGTGAAAAAGAGGCTTCACACACACGCACACACACACACACACGCGCGCACGCACACACACACACACACACACACACCATAAAAATTTATTTCCATAAAAAAAGATTTTATTACATTATTTATAATTCCGTCAAACCTGTTTATAGCAATTTTTCGAGCTCTGGTAAATGTTTCCGGAATTTTTGAATCCTCTACATCAAATAATCGTGGTAGTCTCATTATGTCAGAATCGCTCATTTTCTTCGTTAATACCAAGCTATCTCTCGATTCACTCATTACATGTATTTGACACTTTTAAAATTTGTTTTCAATTGTTATTGCCGTCGTTAGGCTGTAAATATTTTTTTTGTTTTTAATCTGAAGTACATAGAGAAGAGTCTCGTCATCAACCACTTTTCGATATTAGTCCATTTCGCATATCTTATCAAACATCTATTCTTTGCACTTTGATAAATTTCATTAATCGTTATGGATTGCAGAAATTGCTGCTTTATATATTCAAATCAGCAAGAAACCAAACCAAATATTATACATACAAAATAAAATCTTAACGTCACTTTTACAATGTCATTTTTTATACAAAAATACGAATTTATGGTGACTATAAATATACATATAAAATTTCAGAATAAAATGACAATGTAATTCAATAATATAGTATTTATTGTACATTTATAAGGAACAAAGTGTCCAATGAATAAAATTAAAAAAAGATTTATTATATCCATCATTACATTTATCTTTCGTTATGCTTATGAAAAGAATGATAGGTGTTATCCGGTCGATAATTGCATCGATTTATATTGGACACATCCATACATATGTACATAACTTCACAACTGCGCATACTTAATTAAAGTGGACATTAATTTATTGGTGCGATGATAAAGGATCGGAAAGCACCGCTATTTGTATTTGCATTAATGTTTCTCACGCTCTTATATAAAACATATGCGTCGCCTTATTATCGATTCTTTGACACTTGATTGCATCAAATCCCGGCAATAAAAGACACAACGCGACAATGTATGTATGCCGGCTCGACCTGAATTCAGCATTTTCGATATGTCGAATCTTGCGATCGATACCTACAGATGTCGATATTAATTCGCGACGTGTGATCTGCTTTTACTTTCAATTACGGAAACACGGTTTTGTTTGGCTGAAGCTATATTTAGAAATTATCGAGAATATGGAATCTTGCATGAGCTATTTTAGAAACAAATAAAACAGACATTGACAGTGTGCATTAATGATAACCGATATTCGCTTGTAAATCTTACGCTACTACAAATTACTGCTTCTCTTATGTCAACAATGTAGGTGACAATTTATCGACTGGTCTGCGTAGTGGACAATTTCTAACACAAGTGAAAAAACGAGGAACTTACTCGTTCTGGACACAGCGTCGCGAGTTCACGAAATTCGCAGCCGGTAAGGCGTCGTCATTCACATCCTTCAGCCACATTTTTCGCTATTTTCAAATAATCATCAGCGCCTCGTGGCCGATATGCGTACCTGTTAGTCGGTAATAACAGCTTCGATAGAATGGAATCGATAAAATGAATATTTCGGAAAGCTTAATGAAATTAAATCGTAAATAAAGCATTTTTCAAAGGTTTTTAGAAAAACCAGTTTTTTCCTTTAATCGTGACGCGGTGGGTGCAATATTTATAAAAAGGAAGATTGTCAAAATTGTTTCACAATTAATTACTGATAATGCGAGAATCGTTGTTTAATTAAAGATGTTTTCTGCGAGCATAAATTGACCTGATCGTATCGATTTTATAAGATGGCACCGAATACAGTAAAGACTGCTTATCCCCACTATTCGATTCCACGGAACGAAGGATCCGTTGCGACTCCACATTGTTCCGACAGAAGCACGGAACATTTCACGCGAAAGTAATGAGTCAACGGAGATTCATTATTCCACAAGACCGGTGTCCCGTAGATAAAATGCGTCGATTCGACGAACGTTAATACAGAAAATATGTAATTCAATATCTCCTGCTACTGAAGTATTACGATTAACAAATAATGATCAAAGTATTATTACTTTGACACGAAGTATACGTAAACGTATACGCACGAAGTATACATAAGTAAAATGTTACATTCTGCGATATAATCATACGAAGAGGGAATAATCTAAAAATAAATTATCATGGATGAACGAATTCCTCTTTTCGAATTTTATTTTAAACGATGATACGTGTAATGAAACATACTATTGAGTAATGCTAGAATGTAATATGCACATTGTAATTAATTAATTAATTAAGAACATTGATACGCTACATAAATCATTCTCAGACAGTTTTGTATAATCACAAGGACAATATGTTATTTGTGTTGAATGCCAATGGCGCATTGGGTGCATAATTCCAAGAAGCGGTATGTACAAAGAGACTAATTCCACGTTCGCTATCTAACCGCATTATCTTGGTTAATATGCCTTTTGTAGAGGATCAAAGGTTCTATTCTATTCGAATTTAGAAGTAGGTATTTAATGACACAGATGCTCCCCTTGGAACTTATTACAAATAATTTCAATTTTTCGCAATATATCCATATCTTGGTTTCACGATCAAATTACTTGAGATTCTGACAGATGACAGAACGTTCGAAACTCGATGCTAATAAGAAACAAGAAGACTAATCACGTAGGTATATCACGGTATTTATCACGTACCGACGTTTAAAATTAAAAATCGATATCTGATGGAAGATGATTTAAAAATCGTGTAATACAATTTTGATAACCAAAAATTAATATTACGGATTAAGTTTAAGTCCGTATTGCAACGTCACTTTATATTTGTTCTCACTCAATTCTATTTCGATACGGATAATATCAACATGTATATTTCCAATTGCATTTACCGCGTCACTGCGAAGTTCCTGTCCCAAAGGTAATTCACCTTAATGTATTAATTATCTAGTAGTTTGAAATACTTGTTGATGTTTTTAACGTGTTTAACAAGATGTCACCACTCTGCGCACCACTGTTCTTTGTTCGAAACGTAGACAGGTAAAAGCACTTCAAGTAAAAAGTTCACCGTTGTCGAAGAAATTTACAGAGATCGGACAGTGCATGTGAAAGTCGCGTGACAGAAAACTACGATCCGATCCACTCGATGATCAAACGTCAACTGATCCTTTACTTGCTGAGCAACCAGTTAATACGCGCCGATAGGAATCAATTCATCGTCTTCCGGACATAAATCCGGTCCACCTCCTTACATGTTTTTGTTCTAGTAGTATACGAGGGTCTCTTAACAGTGCAGTATAACGAAACACACCAAAAATAGGATTGGACGTTGTTGTAATTAAAATTTCATGGTCGCGTTCGTCATTTATGTTGCTTCATAGCGATGCTCGGTATTTGGGAATAAAATGAGACAGCTCGAACCAGAAATGAACTATGAACTCTGTCGTCTGTCGCCTATTATGTAATATTAGCTTTGATCTTGGAAATATTGTTTTCAATTTGTCACCATACACAAAGCACAAGATATAACGTTGTAATGTGCATAAAAAAAATGTAGTATAGATGAATGTAAGTAAAAATATCGTATCCAGCATCTTATTCGACGGAACATGTAGGTTTTAATGGCCACGAAGTTATCAATTTGTAAGACCGACAAGTAGACGCGCGGTGGGGCTAACTGTTTAATGAGGAATTCCTGTTTTGTCTCAGGGAACATCGCGTGCAACGGCGTATAATAGACGTATACTTATTGCGCTCGTACACTTTCATTTGTAGAGCAGTTCCAGCATGCTCCAACAAGGTGTATCGAGCACCGTCGGCGGGATACTCGACTGTCGCAGCAATGAACGCGTAACTTTCTTGTTGGTTAGTTCTCAGAAAAATGTCATCTCTCAAGCGATTCGACGAACGTAGAAACGATGCATTCATGAAACACACATTCCAGTTGCATCATTCGCGTCCCTTTCGGCGGAGTGCGGAACTTTCGTCAAAAAGTATAGTTGGTATTAGAAATAATGTAATGTAATAAATGTGAGAAACAAAATTATTTCTCTTTTAAAGAGAACCAAAAGGATAATTTGTTAATCCTTTAACCACATATTTATGAGTTAGCGGTAAACTGTCATGATTTATGGCTCTCGACACACATTTGCTATACATATAGTCTGTCGAACAATTTTCATAGAAGCGTCTTGTCATGCACAGACAGGAATTAGTCCGACTCTCGAAATACGTGCTTCATTCTTCTCGAACTCAATTTCGTTCAACGATCACATAAAGCGCATACATTCGTTACCGTATGCGTGCATCGTGACTCACAGTTACCTTGTGGGGTCGTACACGGGAGCTCCTTCTTTACCGACCTAAAATTAGACCTTCCTAAACTCGACCTTTCCGATACAACCTAGATTTTATTGTAACTTTCGATCCACCTATACATATATATTTGTAATTGTTACTTTGTTTCCAGGAAAATTCTTCATCGATCAATCATCGATAAAGCACACTGCATTTCACGGGAAATCACCGTGACTGGAAAATAGCTGGAAATAGTGAACATCTGACACGTGTAAAAAATAAGTAAATTCGATACAACGTTATCGATCGAAACAATAGTGGAAAAAAGAAGCACGTCTCTGAAACGATTAAAGTTCATATACAAGGTAATTTCTGGTTGCCATCAGGCCGTAAAGTCGAGCAAATTTACCACCAATTTTAATTGTTCTAACACGAGCTTCTTTCGTAGGTTGTTTCACGCTATCGACTTTTGGTTAAGTCGGTCAAGCATTGCGCGAGGATACACGTATATACATCGTAGAGTTTCTGCTAAGGTATGCATTGTCCACACTTTCACCCTATTTATTTATTCACTGTTTGCACCGTGATCGTCATGAGTTACCAAACGAAAAATATCGCGACTAAGCAATTCAAGAAATTCCACTGATTTCAGTAATAAATTCCTCATGCAGGTGAGACACGTGATTGCGCGCACCTTTCAAGATTTCGCGAAAAATATTCCTGCCAATTCCTGTCGCTCATAGGAGAACGAAATAAAATGCTATTTGTAATAATGTACTGGCGCCAGCGTCGGTATTATGTAACACAAACCATTGTTTCTCTCTTGGCAGTCTATTATTTTTCTCTCGCCGTGCATCACAATGCAAACAATAAAAATGAGCAATATTGTTTTTTAAATGACAGATCTTTTTTTTTCCAATTTTGTATTCTAGTGAGAAAAAGACGTTCAACATCTAACACCGCACTTTCATCAAGCCAACGGAAATACAGAGAGAATGCTTAATACAAGGAACTAGGATTATAGATTAGTTTCCAACAAGCGAAATCTGGAAAAAAAAAAACGAAGCAAAGAATAAGATAAAGAACAGCATGAGCCTTTTAAATTGAACGTTTGATATAACATTGATAAGAAGCAATATCGATGGATGAGTAACGAGGGTAAATCATTGTGTTATCTTTCTCAGGGCAAAACTCGCACGGCCTTTGTTATCGTTGGAATTATTTCAGAGCGGCCGAAGTTAAGATCATCGTTTCGATCGTAATTTCTACACGCGTGCACGCGTTCATCTAGTTAGATGTGCCGTCTAAAATTAAATTCTAAACATAACTAAAAGCGCATTTTCCCCTTCGCCTTTTGCTTTGTTTGAGTAACGACTATTGCTTTTGATGGTGTCAATGAAATACACGTGTACAATACGTTACGACATTACGCTCTTGTAATTAAAATACATATCGAAATCGTGTTGCCAAGATTTTCAGTGAATTAGACGAAAATAAATTGCAACCCAGGATCATAAAATTTATTTGTCCTCAGCGCTCTGTGTCGAAATAATCGAAGAATTGCCTGGACGAGTGATATTACGGCCATAAAAGCTTCAACGTTATTTTGCCAGATAAATCATTCGAAAGAAACGATGAAATATTGCGGAAATAATAATCTAATGGTAATTGCCAAACAACGTTTCGTCGAGTTCTTGTTCTTTATTAACTACACTCTATTAAACCTGGAATACTAACATTGAGAATACAGTGCCTCCAGAGATTTTCTTTTCATATCACTGCTTGGCACTGATAGTGGGTGGCGTAACTAAAAAAAAATATTAATTTTTATTTCATTGCATTATTAAATGTTATTACAGTATTCGATTAATTAGTCAAATGCAAATTTTAAACTGCTTTAGTCCTGCAAAATTTAGTTTTTTTTTTTTAGGCCACCTTAATATCTTTTATTGTATAAATGTAAAAAAAAGAAAATTGTCTGCTGTGTCGAGTGTTGATTTTTCGCATTTTTACAATTTATCAATTTTTTTTTAATCGTTAATAAAATTACTAAACAAAAATACAAATATTATTTTCACTACATGGAATCCAGTTCCATATACATATAATGTAGCTAACATTAATTGCCAGTATTCCAAGTTTAATGTAACAGGATGTACACTTCTGAATAGTCGAGAAACGAGATATCTTAATTGTTAAGAGCAACAGATCGATGAACCGTGGTGAATGAAGCTAATCCAAGAGGCGTCGATGGGGCGTTCATGGCAGAACGGATTCCTCAACTACGTCAGCTTGCTCAAAATGCGTCACATTTACGAAGAACAATGGAACACGACACGGAGATGTTGGTATTGGCGCAACTGAATTGCGTAGTCCGGATAAATCCAAAGGGGGAAACCTGGTCTCGTCCTACACGTCAAAGGATACTGCGTGCATACGTTTAGCCTGCTTATGGAGGAAAAGGTAGCGAACCTCTTGAAGGGACGCAGCACACGTAAATCATGCCGTTGAAAGGGAACGGTACATCCTCCGTGGTATGATACGAGGATGTAGGCACGTAATCTTTAAGCTTCAGATCTCCTTTTCAAGATACCATTGCGTGAATTGATCTGAAATACGAAGTATACGTACGTTTCGAATGGCACGTAGCTAGAAACACTAATGTTCATAGAGTGTTTCGATAATTTCAAGGTTCAACGAAGGCAGAGCTTTGAAGAAAGATCTGTTGATCTGTGATATATTCAAGGTTCGAGAAATCGTGAGAGTGAATGAAACGCAATGAAATAATCGTCGGCGCATAATTTAATCGAACCGAATGATGTAATTGTCGGAATTTTAACGAAGAGACGCGAGGACAAAACGTTGGAAATTCGTGAATCATGAAATTCGAACTGAGATAAAGGAACTGTATACAACACACGCTCCCAGTGTGGCTTTTATGGAGGGATTACGAAATATGTGGTGTTTTGCAACGCGTTTGCCGCGTTCCCATTTTGCATCCACAAAGAGATATCAGCTTTTGCGTATGAATTTTGTTTTCAACTTGTTAACGAAGGTCTCATTGTGAACAATAAGCGAAAAACGTCAGATAAAATGGAACAAACAGATGCTGTTGACTTGAGTGTATTATATTGGGACATTTTAAAAAGCAAGGGCTGTAGGTGAGGGCAAATGATAATTATTTAAATAAACAAATAATTCTGCTGTATTTTTACTAATTTAACTTACTGTATATAGTTTTACAGATTTAAACAATTGCATTTTTATTTATTTCACTTGTCTGTTAACTAGGTTTGCTCACTTATCAAACAGAAATTCAATCTAATTTATAATTGAACATGAATAAGAATTATAACAAGTTATTGAAATTTTCGTTCTTGCAAAAATATGACTGTCGTGTATTTTATACTTTAATACAGGCACATAGCGGTGCAATAAAAAATTATGGGCTAACTTGTCTTCTCCAGTTAACAGGTGTTCAGAATTAAAAGCAACAATTTCTTATGATTTCTGTGTACAGATTACCAGAGGAACAGTGGAATCATTTATGAGTTGGAACTAGCATCTGCATTGCAGTGAGAGGAGGCTACATGAAACATCGATTATAGTAGCAACGCCAGGAACCGTCGTCCATATTTGCATAAGAATTAGTGCAGAAGAATATTCTAATGAAATTTGTATGCTCCAGAAGTTAGCAGCTCTTCTTCTGAAATATCTTGCAGACATTATATCAGACTGGGTGCAGATCGTTGCAGATACGCGCGCGCGCATCATTGTAACATCAGAGAAAAGATACCGTGGGGGAGAGACCTAAATTCTTTCCAGTGAGATTTAATCCTCAGAATCTTGAAATTTTCGTTACAATTATATTCATCGAGATTAATCAACGATCTTGCTAGTAGTAAACAATATATATACATATATTCGTTGTTTTAGTGAAGTTTGAAAAATGGAAATACATATCCGTTTGAACGATTCACATATAATGATTGATACGCGAGCGTCAGAAATGAAATAGAAGAAATTTACCTGTGACCTAATTCACGCGTATCTGTTTGTATGCTGTAGCAGCCCTCATTGTAGGTATCCAAGTCTTGTTCGCTACGATCGTTCCTGGTCATTGTTATTTCAGAACTTAAAGGGAAGCCAAGCATCGACCGATGAAAGGACTCTTCATAGATGTTCGACTCATCTGGGAATCGGACTTTGCACCCTGCTCCAGAACATTCGAATGCTGGTTACTGGCCACAAGAAGGTTTTCGTGGATAGAAAGGTGATGACAGAGAGGAAGAAAGCGTAAAAATATCCTTTCTATATATATACATATATATATAATTGTAAAAGGTTTTCTTTACGTCAAGTAAAATCCGTCTACTGTTTTTTTTTTTTTTTAGGAAAAATTTCCGCAATAAAAACGAAGAGCAAGAGAAGAGAAAAGAGACGGAAGTAACGATTACAATATGAAGATTGAAATTTTACCAAATCTAATTTTAGCTGGCCTATCGATACACAACCAGTTAAACGTCCCGTTCGTTGGAATATTAATAGCTTATTATGCTTTATCGTACGAATGGAAGCAACACAGTACATTGCACTTGTGCGTGTGAGTTCGATAAGGGAGAAGAGACGGATAGAAATGAGGAAGAATTTACCAGTTCTGCTCGCCGGTGTGATGAGCACGTTCACATTTTCACTACTCATAGCGGGTCGGATTGTGAAACAACCAAACTGGCCAGGGGGTATCGATCACAGATTAGAACTGTCCACCAATGGAGAGAGAAATTGATTTAACACCGCCCGTTAACTGACCAGCGCGAATGACAACAACGTAATGAGTCCAGTGAAAATTTTCAGCCGCGTTTAGCACGCGAGCAAACGGCACGAAAATACGGCGAGAATAGCAACGACGATAAGAAGGCTGCAGGGGTCATTCGCGTGACGACGATAGGCTAGAAGGAAAAGTACACGGAGACGCGTGATAATCGGAATCAATTAAACACGAACACCGGATTTTCTGTGAATGAAAAGGGGAGCTAGACAACTGGAAAATCAATTTTTTTCAATCGCTAGAGGATGGCCATGGTGAGACAGACTTTAAACTCCAACCTCTCTTCTCCGTATAGTTTATTGATACATTTTTTCTTTTTTTTGTTTTTTCATCAATTTTATGCATTTGCAAATTCTGTTACAGGATAAAAGATGGGGGCGTATAAAGGCCTTTTTTTGACTTATTTGCACGGTGAAAAAGAAAGTTTGTCATTTTTGGGCATTTAATTAAATCTATGTAGACATTTTGGGGGAAAAAAACAGACATCAAAATGCTAATAGACTAAAAAATTTCCTTATTCGCCCACGTTCTTCTGCAATCGAATAATCAATTATTAACATTTCGAATTTATGGATCTTATAATTGATCAATTCTAGCGGCAGTGTATTGGAAAAATGCGTCACGAAAAAGTTTCTTAGTCTCCAAGGATTAGTTTTCCCAGTGATGACATTAGAAAATAAGCTTGCCCGGCAAGCTAAGAAACATAAAACGAAAATAGGAAATGTGTTGTTATCGGTGGAATGTTTTGACAGATATTAGTGTTATCTATGTTACAGCAGCGTAGACGAAGGAAGAAGAGAAACGACGTACATACAAAATTCCTTCAACAACCAGTTACAGATCGAAATGATAATTTCTTGAGAGAGAGAGAGAGAGACAATGGTAGTATGGTGGCGATCTGAGTCTTTCCGCGTGAACGTAAAACATTTCACGATCGCGATGGAAATATATTAAGCTGAATCAGTTATTTTCGCGTAATATGATCGAGCCGCTCCGAACAGTGCGTAGGCTGTACAGGCGTCCTTGACGATCTCGTGAATTTTGTGTTTTAGGGCGACTCGTGCGAGATAATAATAAAATATTCGAGAGATCGTATAACATTGTCGATTAACAGCTTGTGCATAATTGTTGAAATAACGAGACAACGTTATCGATTGCCTGGTATCTCGACAGTACACTGCACAAAATAATGAGAGGATTAAAAATAACTGGAGAATTATTTAAATAATACGATTTTTCGTTTTAACGCCATAAAAAATTTGGTTCTATGGTTAATTACTTTTTGTAATGGTATACGAATAATCGTAATAAACGTAATAAACAAAGAAATTTTTAAACATACAATTAGAAAATATGGAAATCATTGTTTCTGTCACTTAAAATTATGCTTGGAAATAAAATTGATCGTACAGATAATATTTTTGGAATAAATTGCTCTGTTTTTCTTATATATTAGTCACTCGAATGTTGCGAATTTTGAATATTCATTAGATAGAACGTACAGTCGATGAAAAATTAATCACTAACCTTTGACTAGCTTGTCGATACCACTTTTTATTTCCGCTAGGATCATTTTCGTGCTGAGGTGTGGTAGGGCCGTTTCCATGATCCCCGTGCGAATTACAATTTTCCAATTCCATGATCAACTAGAAACATTGAAAGAAAACAAATTTGTCACGTTATCGATAAAATTAACATTTTTACTATCATCATTACTCGCAAGAAATTTCTACTTATAATATTATTGTGAAAATACCAACTTAATTCTGACAGCCATTCAATCTTTATAAATCAAAAGTATTTTTCTTGCAAATCAAATAAAAACGACCGTATTAGAATTAAAATCACTTTGTTACAACTGTAAACATCTACATGTTATAAGGAATTCTACGCGAAAGTATGTTTTCAAGCGAATTGTAAACAGGAAAAAAATGTAACTAATTATAAAACAGAAAATGGCAATAAATTAATCGTATCATGAAGGATGATTTATGTACATAATGTTGAATATACTTATTTATCAGTCGTAATGATGTTACTCTTATAAAAGTTGTAAAAGTACACAGAAACATCAAACTATAAAATTACAACTACTTTTCATAAACAAGATAAACGCATAAAAAAATTGCCACAAAATAATTCTATGCAGATTGTTGCAAAAAATTACGAAAAGTTATACGGCCATTGATGTCGTGTTCACCAATTAATTCGTTATTATAAGAGTAATAAAAGGCGTACCTAGTAAGCTCGTAGCTTCAAAAATATATTCAACGTTTCGTACAAGTAGAAATAATAAAAGATTTTAAAATGTTCTTATTTAGGTTAAATACCGACACACTGCACAGCAACCCGTCATTCAAGCACTAACTTAACACTGTCACCACAATTGAAAGCTCACCGCACACTGGCGTCAATTCACTGAACTGCGTTGACCTGCACATCAGGTATGCCAATGCAGAAAATGGAAGTATTCCTATGCGATTTCGGATTGCCGAAATGTTCACGGCGCACATGTTAAGGTCCATTTGAACTAATAAATCGTGCTATACATATATTGCATGGGTATGAGTTGATTAGTCATTTCAATTCATAATAATAATTTTTTAAACTTTTTTATCAAACAAATAATTCGATATGTATTTAAAGTATTATTTAAACTACTTTTAAACCCTTCCTTTAATTTTTGTTATCATAAATGTAATAGATGTTATAAAATGTCCAACATTCGTGATGTAAATAAAGCGAAATATAATAAATGTTTAATATTCTATACGATTAATTAATGAAAATTGTTATTCAATTACATGAAAAATTTACATAACATGTATGAAAAAAATTATACGTTAAAAATATTAAATGGCGCCAAGTTGAGGTATTTGAATGTTTACATGGAAGTGAAACTATTATAAATTTGACAAAGTATTAATAATTACGAAGCACTACGAAGCAACTACATAACGCAAAATAGTGAAATATAAATAAAACGAACTTAAATGCTTTGCGATTAAGTATTTCGTGCAAGTAGACATTTTAATATCGTTTCTACACTTATCCCATTACAACAAACTGTTTTCAATTTATAGACTAAGTACACTTAAAGATTAAAATCCGATAAATAAAATGAAACTGCGAATATTGCAAAAAGAGAAATAATGAATATCAAGATAAACTATGTAAAAATTGTATAGAATACACGACATACTTAAAGGTCGCTGATTCTGCACTACATTTCCATTTTTTTCGTATCAGCGTATGATGATCGATGATTTCAATGGAAAGGAGAAACGGGGTAATTATCAGTAAATGATGCACCTGCCGAATAGTTGAGTTGCAAGTCGTACACGAATCACTTCGACCTGTAAAGGCGACGGACGAATTCGTTCGTAGCGCCGTGCGTAACCCGTCCGTCCGCTGTCGTCTGAACGCCATAATTCGAGGTAAAATCCCGTAATTCGTAGTTTTCGCGATTTTCCACGCGTCCGCGGTACACATCGTGTAACCAGTAACAGTTGAAACGCAGTCCCGAGACCCCCGTGGCTAAACAATTACGTTGCATTCTCTCTATTGCGTAAAATTAATCCGATTTAGGTGACCTCGACACGACATAACCTAACAACCTGTCTGCTGACAATTCCGAATGACCACGGTACAGATCGTGTGTTCGTTCGCTCGGTTCCGTTAAATGCACGTACGAAATTACGGCTCGGAGCTGGAATGCGTCAGCTAGTGCATGATCGTCGGTGTACCACCACGAATCTCATCGTAGCCCAACCCATTTTTTACTCTGTCGTTTGTAGACCATTCCATGAAATTGTGTCACGTTCAAATCAACGGGTTTTTTCCTTTTATTTGTTTATTAATTTAAATGTCACTCTCTTTATCACAGCTGTCCATTTTTTTTTCTTTTTCGTTAATTTTTACAAAACATGCTAGTACATACATAATGCAAACACATAACCTTTACACCATTCTAATATTGCATTTGTTCGATTTTGTTCCAGATTTCTTTGAAAAAGTAATAGCACATTTTCTATTACTTTTATGTGATTTCGATACATATGGTTACTTCAACGATTTTCATCAGTTTTGATTAATTTTTATTTGTATTTTTTGAAATTATGTAATATATTTTTGCACAGTGTTATTTTGAAATATTAGATACAATTTTTAATACTTCATTGATATACAGCTGTAATTTACATTTTTTTAAGTTACATACCTGTTTTTTTTCTGTACAATTAGTTTTTGCATGTTATAATGAATAATGTATAATTTTTTGTATTCATAAATTTGATATTTTAATAAATTTCATTTTTATATAAAACATTTGTGTTTTATTTTTGAACATACTGTTAATATTATTGCACCTTCTATCTATATTCAAATAATTTATAATATGATATACTTTATCAAAGTATATGATTATAAATTGGAATTAAACAGTATTCATATTCCATTAAATTATCTACAATTTTATTTTTCAATAGCATAAATATGTATTAAATATTTATGCATATTTATTCAATATCTAATACATGTTTATGCTATTGGATATCAAAATGAACAATAATACTTCTGCATAAGCTCATATCATCTATTCTGTGTTATATAATGTGCACTTCATATTAATATTATCCATAGCTTAATAATTATTCTAATGATTTGACATTAATTTGAATCTCAAAAGCAATGCTGTGCTAAGACATCAAACTTCCTAACATTTGTGGCCTAAGTATTTGAAAGAATTCAGTAAATCAAGAAGATGAATAATCAGGCATTCAGTTTAGCAGAAAGACTTATTCCTTCAACCTATGTACAACAAGGTTTAAATGCAAAGAAAGCACGTGAAAATCTGATAAGACACTTCATTGAACATGTAAGGTTTCATTAAAAATTTTGACAATATTATGTGCTTATAATGAATATCTTTTAATTACTAATTTACATTTTTTTTAAATAGCAAAACTGGCCAGAAGAGGGTTGGAATGATGCAACAATAGAAGCCTTCCTCTCAGATTTATCACAAATGGACAGTAATAATTTTCCTTCTAACTGTAGTGTTGGAGAACGTGAAGCAAGAATTATATCAAACATTGTTGCAAGGCGACATTTTCGAATGGGTCATGGCATAGGTAGATCAAGTGATTTAGAAGAAGTACAACCAAAAGCTGCAGGAAGTAGTTTAATGTACAAATTAACAAATGCTTTAGTGCTTGAAGTTATTCGATTCATGGGTGAGATTATTAATTTTGAGTTACTTAATATGTGTTTGATGTAAATGATACACTAAGTACTACTTTTTATTGTAGGTGTAAAAAGTATAGCAGGCTGTTTTTTATCACCAATGGCTACAGGCATGAGTTTAGTGTTGTGTATGCTAACATTTAAGCAGGACAGACCACGAGCACAATATGTCCTATGGCCTAGAATTGATCAAAAATCAAGCTTCAAATCAATAATCACAGCTGGTTTAGAACCAATTGTTATTGAAACAAAAATAGTTGGTGATGAATTAAAGACAGATATGCAAAGACTTGAATCTCAAATGGCAGCTTTGGGTGAAAGTGTTGCTTGTGTACTCACAACAACCAGCTGTTTTGCACCCAGAGCATGTGATTCTGTTGATTCTATTGCAGCACTTTGTACTCAATATAATATTCCACATTTAGTAAATAATGCATATGGGTATGTTTACATTATCATTACAGTTTTTTTAAAAAGTATATTGTGATTGAATAGATATTACATTATATTTTATTAACAGCTTACAGAGTACAAGATGTATGCATTTGATTCAAGAAGCGTCACGTAAAGGCCGTGTCGATGCTTTTGTTCAAAGCACCGATAAGAACTTTCTAGTGCCAGTTGGTGGTGCAATCATTGGCTCATTTGATAAAAATCTTCTAGATCGCATATCAAAAATGTATCCAGGTCGTGCAAGCGCCAGCTCCATTATGGATGTAATGATAACATTACTAAGTTTAGGAATTGCGGGTTATAAACAATTAATAACGCAACGTAAAGAAATGTATTCATATTTAAAAGAAGAGCTCGGAAAATTAGCAGCTAGACATGATGAAAGATTGCTAGACACTAAAGGAAATCCTATATCAATGGGAATGACTCTTCAATGTTTAAGTCATCAACATGATAACAAGCAAGTCACAATGTTAGGTTCAATGTTATTCCTCCGCAATGTTAGTGGTACAAGAGTAATAACAACAACAGAATCTAAACATATTGTTTCACATAAATTTGAAGGTATGTGACCGGAAATATGTAATTAGTACATTCATCATGTTATATAGTTAGTTCATTATATTTATATAGTTCATTGTACTTTTTATTCATTTCATTTGAATTAGGTTGGGGAGCACATAATAGTAATTATCCGGTACCATATTTAACTGCTGCTGCAGCTGTAGGTATGAAGAGATCAGATGTGGATATATTTATACAACGATTAGACAATGCTCTGACTAAAATAAGGAGACGTTCAGCTCCGGTTACACCAACAGCATCTTTTGCTGGATCCAGTATTAATGGAGATGCAGGAGGTACTGGTGGTCCTGGAGAATCTAGTACAGCCTCAACTAGCCGAGCAAGTAGTAAGGATAGTTTGAGAAAATGAACCGTAATCAACGCTTCTGGCCAGTCGAATCAGTACATTAATTTGTAAGTAAATTATTACTTACAGTTAATACATGTTGCATACTTCTAAAGAATGTAGTACATTATTATTTTTTACATAAACAAAATAATCCTTCAATGATCTGTTTATTCTAAATTTATTTATATATTCTGTATTGATATTTTTTCTCAGATTAATTTAAATCTTTTGTTAAACAATGTAATTAGACATTTAAACCTTTAATGTTGTAGTACCTTATAAAGAAAGTACATTCCAAGGCGGTATGTAACAGGAAAATGCGCTGATTCGTCTGTCCATTTGCGTTGGAACATCGTCAATTGTCACGAAGTGGAGGAAGGGAGTTCCATACAAACGATATTAAAAATGTTACAATATACTAACAAAAATGTTAGTATATTCTATACATTTATTTGAAGATATTAATTGGTAAGCGCTGGCCGCAACAGTATCTATCACACTTATCCTACGTTATAATGTACATGCTATTACTTTTAAAGCAAGGCATATTATCAAATATCTAACTTTTTCTGTTAGCTTTTATTTTCATTTTGTGCAATATTAGTACATGAGATATAAGTAGATCATATAAGATTAGACAATATAAGATTAGTTACTTTGCATCCTTTGAAATTAGTTTTCTGCAAGGACATTGATCTCTTTAAATGTATTATTTTACAAATAGTCGTAATATTGTTAAAATTAGTTAATACCATTATACTGATTATGTATTTTAAGATAGTTTAATACTGTATATTTTAAGTCACAAATTAGCATTTCTTTTGCATCATTTATTTGTGCTAGAAACGTGACATAATATAAAAAGTGTACTTTCACTTAGAAGTAATGATGTAATTCTATTGATGGTCATAGAAAGAAGACATGTTATTACTTGTAAAGAGAGGTTTATAGTAGATACAGTATTTGCTTAATTAATCACACTGTTATAGAAAGTGTGTACAAAAATTAGAAGCACTATACATGAAAAAAAGATATTCCAAAATCTGTATAAATCAAGTACAGATATAAACATGCTGCTTATGATTTTCAATTTATTTATTTTTTAGTCTAAAAATATTTATTTATAGACCACTTCCTATAGACATGTAATTATATCTATAGTTTATGTGCAACTGTTATTTAAACTTTGTTTTTATCAAACGCTATTTCTTATACACGAATAACAGTATTATCTTTTCAATATTTTTAAAGAAACAATGGATACACAAAAAGAACCACATAAATTTAAACGGTATATTATACTGCTAAACATAATTATTTTCTAGATGTATGTACAATTTTTTATGTGCATTTATTGTACACAATTACTTGTATATGCACACTAAGAAAAATATCTATTTTCAAGATTCACCTTTGAATAAATTATTTTAAAAGTATTATTTTTTCATATGTTAAATACACATTATTTCGAGTACAGGAAGATAAGTCAATTAACATTTAGTACAATATTTAATAAAATCGGTAAAAATTAACAAAAATTAAAAGAACAAAATCCAAAATATTTAAATAGTTCCCATAATTATTTTAAATTTTTATAAAACAATGTCTGTTGCAATGTTATAGTGTTTAGATTTCCTTCATGTAAATTTTATTGATACAATATAATATTTGTTGATGATGTATTAATACAAGCTCAGAAAAAAGCAATATAATGTACAAAAATTGTTAAAATATTGTATGCATTGTTATATTCACTAGAAAAAAATCAAAGAATGAAAATTAATGTTATGTTGATATATTTC